ACCACCAGTCAAAAATATTTGTGTCCTTTTTACAGAAAAGGTATTATAAAGATGTTTTGGGGAATACCCGGAAATGCACATCAGAGGAGCTTGAAAGCTAGTGAGGAGAAAAGACAAAAGCCAATGAGTAATCAGTACATGATCTGTCACGAGGCAGTATGGTTAGTTGTCCGGGGGGTGACACAGGTGGGAAATATTGTGAGTACAGGGCAGGAGAGTAGGATTGTGAGCAGGAATGACCTGGAAAGGTTCCATATAAAGGCCTGAGTTAGTTTTGATGGAACAGGTAGAATTTAGTGGAGGGGGGAGCATTCCAGGTGAAGAGAACATTAGGAACAGTAGAACAAGCCCCTGCATGCTTGCTGCAGCACTGAGACCTGGGGGCCAGAACCAGTGAGGGAAATCTGAGTGTTGCCCGGGGCCGAGACGAAGCCTTGTACATGGACAGGCTCTATGGACTGAACGCTGGGAACCATTCCCACATTTAAGGAGCAGGTAGAAGAGCTGGTGAAGAACGCAGTGACGATGCTTTGAAGAGAACCAAGGTCACGGGGCACAAAGGAGGGAGGTCGGTAAAGTCAAAGGCTACCAAGGCCAGGGGACTGAGGACTAAGGGAAAACTGGCTTTGAACCAGAAGCGCCGAGTCTCTCTCTCTCTTTTTTTTCTTGGCTGTCTTGTGGCTTGTGGGATCTTAGTTCCCTGACCAGGGATAGAACCTGGGCCACAGCAGTGAAAGCGATGAGTCCTCACCACTGGACCGCCAGGGAATTCCCGCAAAGTCTCTTTAATGAGGGCGGTGGCTCTTCACCATATTGTCTATCTCGGGAGATTAATCTGTCATTACTTTCAGCCCCATCTTTTGAATTTGCACAGTGTGTTTAACTATCACTTCAACTGGTAGAAAGTATCCAGTGAAAACACCCAGCTAAAGTTTACAGGCAGTCCCCGTAGTTTCCCAGCCGTCCAGAGCCACGCTGTTTTTTAAGGCTGTGCTTCAGTGGCTCGTGGTCTTCCTGTGCATGACTGCCCTCCTTCAGCTTCCTGCAAAGCAGCTGTTTCCTTTCGCTGCTGTCATCCACTCTCCTCAAGGGGCTTGTCCTGCTGCATGGAGGCTCTGGGATCCCAACTTCAGAAAACAAGGAGGGTTATGCGTTGGGACCTTGCGTTTGGAGACCTCTTCATGGTTGTAGGCTGCACTGCGACCCCAGCCAGCTGCTTTGCAAGTGCAAGTGACTGTGAACACAGGAAACCAGGTGAAGGATCGATGGATCAGGTGAACCTGTCACCCTGACTAGACATGTGTTCAGCTGGGAGCCGATCAGTATCATCTTCCCCAGGAGTAAAGGAAAGTCTATTTATAGCCTTAAAATATAGGCACAGTTGTGACCAAATTGCTAGAGGTGACAGGTCCGGGTGTTGCTTCTGTGATTGCTTCATACTCAGGTTTTGTCCTGGATTTTCTTGTTTGAATGCTGTCATTTCTTCTGCACAACATAAGCTGTGACCACGAAGACTTTGGTTTCTTTTCTTTCTCTTGGACATCAGATTCCAGCTACTATAAACTGCTTCCTAACTTATACTAAATAGTTCTCATAATTGAATCTACTCTGTAGGTAGCCTAAACACGTCATGTGCATAAGCTGCTTACTTATTGAGTAACTATAATGTGGGCTGAATCAAATAGAATATGCAGAAATATTCTGGGGTGAAGACAATTATTTTAATAGCTGGCATTACAGTTTCTCTTGGCAAGGCACTTTTTTGTGTGTAGGAAAATACTTTGATAAACAGTCTAGGAATGGAAGGTGACCCTAAGTATAGATTCGGAGACAGAGATAAGTAAAAGTGCTATATAAGGAGAGAAAATAGGAGGGGAGGGATGGGACCACAGAGAGGATGGAGAGTGGGAAGCTGCGGTTCATACTAAAAGAGGATGGGGGTCAGTGGATACCAAGGCCGCTGGGATACTGAAGGACTTTTAAGAGCAGGGAATTATAATTTTAGGTTATTTGCATCTTTCATTCAGAACGCTTTGGTTGCTACAAACCTTCAGAAGAGTCTGCTATACGAACAACCAAAGAAAAGAGTCTGCTTTCCACATTGTGTGTCAGCAGGAGAAAAAAGCGTTGCAGGAGGTGAGATGTGAGGCAGTCTAACTATTTAGAGAAAACAAGAGCTCAGAGCCAGAAGTGACCCTGAAATTGTAAGCCCCCAAGGAATATGCAGTCTTGGAGAGAACACTGGCCTTCCACAAAACCTCTATGGACAAGGTGACCCCGACTGAAAACTGATGACACACGGCAGCTTGCTATTTTCAATCATAAATTCTCAAGAGGCTTTTATTACTAGAAAATGACAGGGTCAGTAATGCCTCCTTCCTCCTCCATTTACTTAAATCTATACGCCTCATTTTCCTCACCAGCATACTCTGGAGATTGGACCTAGAATATGTCTGTGGTCTCTATTAGAGTCTACAGCTCTAACAATAATAGCTGCTATTTTAATGTTCTTTTTTTTGAGGTAAATTTACCTACAGTGAAATGTACAAATCTCAAGTGTAGCATTTCATGAGTTTTGACAAATGCATATACCCTCGGAACCCAAATCTAAGCAAGATATAGAGCTTTTCTATCACTACAGAAAAATTCTCTCTTCAGTCAAACCACACCCTCACCTCCAGGCGCCCACCCTTCTGGCTCTTATCACGATGGATCAAAGAACTAATATTTAAAAGTTACTGTTGAATGCCAGGCTTTGTTTTAGAATGCTTCACCAGCATCAGTGCTTTTATTTCTCACGAGCACTGTGAAATGGCTCTTACCTCCATTTTGCAGATTAAAACGTTGAGCATCAGACCAATTAAGTTGCCCCTGGTTATCAGCCACCCAGTGTAGCGGCAGGGCGTGAACGAAGAAGTGGGTTTTAGACTCAGGGCATCTCTGAGACGGGTCATGGCCAGCCCACATACGATTATTTAAGAAATATTATAGATCAATGTTCAAGTGAAATCAATGCCATTTACAAATTCTCAAGCCTCCCGAATAATCCTAAAGGCCGCATGCATTACACTTTACTAAATGATTCGTTTCTATCCTACACAGAAAATGGCAGAAAGGAGGTGTGAGAGGTTGCAAATTCGGTTTTACTGGTGCAAAAACTCAAAAGAGGTGACTCAGGTTCCAAACATGCCTCGAGGCAGGGCCTGCGGGGATGCCAGGATAGGCGGCGAGGGAAGGGCTGGACCAGCGACCTTTAAAGAGCCTGGCGCCGCTCCTTCCTCTGACGCCACAGGCATCGTCTCAGAATAGAGCAGGCTCGACGCGCTCGCCGAGAGAACGGACACGCGTCCTGCCACGGGGATTGGACGCTGCCGCGCAGGGCTCATCGGCAGCACCGGAGGTCAATTCGTCACGCGTCTCCCTCAATGCCACCGTCTCCCTCCGCTCCTAGGCGCACCCTAGTGCCTCCCTTCCCCGGCACCTGGGTGGGTTCCCAGGCTCCTCCCCAGAGCTGACTTCGAGCCCCACGCCCTACAGGCCCACGGCTGCCATGGCAACCGTACGCCGCCGCCGCCGCCGCCGCCTCTACACGCACGTCGCGAACTAACGTACTCCGCGGCGGCGGCGGCCTATGCCCCACCCCCACCCCACCTGGACCGCAGCAAAACGGTCCGTCGACCTGCGGCACCTAGGTAATGAATCCGAAGGAGACGGGCGCCAGCTACAGAGCCGGTGGTGGGGTATCCGGTTTGACAGCCCCACCCCTGCTCCCGCCGCGGGAGAGGCGGGGGCTGTGCGCGGCGGGGGAGGCAGTGCGTGCCGTGCGGGACGCGGAGAGCCGCGGGCACGCATGGCATGATGGGGATTGTAGTTCAGCGGCTCCTTGGGCTCGCGGCCTTGGCGGGGCGGCCTGGACGGGAGAACTACAAAGCCCGGCGTCCCCGACAGCTGGGAAAGACCGATAAACTTTGAGCCGAGCGGGGAGAGACAATCTTTCTCTTTGTGTTGAGGGGGGTTCTGGGGTGGTCGCGGAATTGGGTTCTGAGCGCTGGGAAGGGGAAGTGGAGGTGAGACTCGGGCTTTCCGCCCCGCCATTTGGCCCGCCCCGGTTGCAGAACTGGCCCCACCCCGGCCCGGCCACCGCTCCGCGTAGTCTCTGGGAGGAGCGGCCGCCCAGGCTGCAGGGCCTCGGGCCTTCGGCGCCTCTCCCCCTCAGGTTGCTGCCTCTCGGTGCAGAACCGTATGTATGGCACACGTTTGATGGGAGACCCGAAAAACTGTATTTTAACAGGCGTTTCTCCTTTTCCCTGATTCCCTCCTTTATTTCTAGGTATTTGATCAGATTTGTTCTGAAGTAGTTAGGAGGTGTTTGCATTAATTAAACCCATTGATTAATAATTACTCAAAGGGCATTAATGTTTAAAGGTTAAGTGTAGAAGTAGAGAAAAGATACCATGCTGTTATATGGTAGTATCTGATATTTTTACCGTTTTGCGTTTTGCATTTTATTTATTGAGGGTCAAGATCCACCCCTGCCTACTAGCCTGAACACTGCCGACACATATTTTGATTCTATTTGAAACCTCAGTTCAACTTAAATCACTAATGTTTTTGAAATACAGACTTGTCTTTTTATTTCATTTTTTTTTAGCAGTGGGTAGTAATAATTATTTTATTTTTTATAACATTTTTCAGAATTTCTCAGGACCATTTTTCAGAATGAAAAGCGCCGTGTTCTTTCTTTCTTTCTTTCTTTTAATGCTCTGGAATACACCTTAGCGCCTGAAGTTTGCTCAGGCCCTGGCGGTAAGGAAGCTGACACAGATTTAGAAAACCTGCCTTGTCTACCCTTTAACATTTTTCGATAGGTAGAATACCATCCTAGAAATTTGGCATTTTACAGTGGTATGTTGGGAAATTATTGATGTATTGTGGGCTTATTTTGTGTGTGTATGTTTTAAAACAAGAAAACAACATAAGGCCACTGTAAAATTCCTTTTATTTCCATTAAATGAAGTGGGCCTCTGTAAACTATACTTAAAGTAGCAGTTTCATAGGAGGAGATAAAAAGTAGGTTTAGTAAGACCACTAGAAAAAAATCAAGACCTTACGGTATACAGTATAAGGATTTGAAATATTTATTCATTCAAGATTTGTTAAGGACCTATTATGTGCCAGGCAATAGATGCCAGGTGGTGGGAAGTAAGAGATGATAGAATATAGTCCGTGTCCTGCGTGGGCACACATTCGTGTCATCACAGTAGGGTGGGAGAGAGGTGCAAGTTGCTGTGAGCCTCCAGTGGGAATACGTGGTAATATCACAGTGACGTGTATTGAATACTTACTCTGTGGGAGGTACTCTGGCGTATTTTGCATGCAACCCCACTGCTGTTATCTAGAGATGAGGAAACAGCCTTAGAGACCTTGCCCAAAGGCATAGCTGATAAGATGTGAACCTGGGATTTCAACCCAAGTGGGTCTAGCTCATCTCAGTCATGATCTCAACCATTCATGCCGTTCTCCACACCCTTTGGAAGAAAGATCCTGACTCTGTCTAGGGAGATTCGGAGAAGCCTCCAGAATGATGTGACATTTGACTTGTGTTAGGAAAGTTGCTTAAGCTTTTACTGGAGAGAGGCTGAGGAGAGTCATTCTAGGCAAATGGCATTACAAAAGCAAAGGAAAAATTGGAGTGCTTTGTGTTTGCGGAACCCTAGGTCATTCTGATGACTAAATCCCAGAATACTTGCAATGTAGTGGGAGAGACCAGGTCTCGAAGTACTTGGTACCATGACAAAGTGTTTAGAATTTTTTCCTCAACGTGGGGTGACTGTTGAAGTATTTCTGATGGAGTAGTGCCATTTATTGGGTTTGGATTTTAGAAAGACCTCCGGCTCCAGTGTGGAGAATGGATCCAGGAGAGAGGTGATAGGAAAACCAGTTTTAGGGGGAAAAAAAAAAAGTCCAGTAAGGAAAAGAGCCTAAAGCAAGCAGTCGGAGTTATGGGAAGAGATGGATTGCAGGAGTATTTAAGAGGTAAAATTGATATGACTTGATAAGAGTTTGGATGTTGGGGGCTAGAAAGATTTGGAATCCTAAGACAAATGATTCTTAGTTTTCTGGCTAGGATGACTGATGGGATATTGAAACCGCTGATTGAGACGAGGTTTTTATCAGGGGCAAAAGATAAAGATAAATCGGTTTACTTTTGAGTATTTGTTCAAGGTTCCTTGATATTCAGGGAAGGAGGCATTTGTATCCAGAGTTCCGGACAGAGCTCAGAGGTAGAGGTTTACGTGTAGATAAGTAGTTACAGGAGAGAATGGACCAGCTCACATAGGAGGAATGTGTAGCTATGAAAAAAGAAGAGGTTTGGATGTGGATCTCTTGAGAAACAGCAGCATTTACAGGGGGGTTGAGTTTCTGGAGAGAGGGGGGTGTGTTTGAAAGGAAGTGGGAGCCCACAGATGAGGCTGAGAGGTCAGGAGGCAGAGAGCAAGGAGAAGAACCGCAGAAAGCATCATAACAAAATGACAAAGGAGAGGAAAGTAGGAAGCAGGGAGGGAGTGGTCCAGGTGCCTCGGAGAGGGTGAGTAAGGCAAAGCTTGAAATGTGTCCAATGGATTTGGTGACTGCACATCATTTCTAAACTTTGCAAAAATGAAGAAGAGGAATCTGGGCATAGGCTACTTGAAAAGAGTTTCCGTATTAATACATATACAAAAGAAAACAGAATAATGAGCCCCATGTAGCCATCACCTAGCTTGGAGAATGAACACATGACCAATTTTGTTTCGTCTATAATCTCTGCCCACAGTTGGATAATTTTATTTATTTCTTTTTTAATTAATTAATTTTTATTTTTGGCTGCATTGGGTGTTCGTTGCTGCGTGCGGGCTTTCTCTAGTTGCAGTGAGCAGGGGCTCCTCTTCGTTGTGGTGCGTGGGCTTCTCATTGTGGTGGCTTCTCTTGTTGCGGAGCACAGGCTGTAGGCGCGCGGGCTTCAGTAGTTGTGGCTCGCGGGCTCAGTAGTTGTGGCGCGCAGGCTTAGTTGCTCCACGGCATGTGGGATCTTCCCGGACCAGGGATCGAACGGTGTCCCCTGCATTGGCAGGCGGATTCTTAACCACTGCACCACCAGGGAAGTCCCATGGATTATTTTAAAGCTAGACTCAGATATCATATCTTTTTATCTGTAATTATTTCATTATGTATCTTTGAAAGTTAAGGATTCTTTAAAAAAAAAATAGAACTGTAGTATTGCCTACTTAAAAAATTCAACAGTACTTCCTTAACATAAAATTTCCAGTCACACTTCTTTTTAAAGAAGCTTGACTGTGAAGAAAGAGTTGAGGCAAACTAAAAGAGGTTTATAGGTTTTTTTTTTTTAAAGATTGATGACAAGCTATTAAGGAAAGAGCCAATAAAGAGGAAATGTGTGACAATGTAGGCGACGAAGAGCGAGGAGAGAGCTGATTGAGATCCCTGAGAAAGTAGGAAAGGATGGGATGAGCAGGGTGGAAGAATTCGGCTAGAATGAATTTGGTACGTTTCATAAGTTCTAGCTGTGTTACTAGGCAGCATGCTAGTGTTGATAGGAGGGGAGAAGCTCTGAAAAAGGAAAAGATGGGAATAGATACAGGTATTTATAGGTTGGGTGGTAAAAGGTGAGAGTTCAAAGCTTATGGCCCCTAAGAGGTGCATAGAAGTAAACGTCAATTGATGAGAGATGAGATTGGGGTTAGGAAAGGAGAATAGTGGAGATTTGAAATAGCCACTATGGAACCTGAGCTAGGACAAGTTAAGAATTGTTTCATTGATTAGATGACAGCAAAACACTAGGCGGTGCAATTTTTTTTTTTTTCCTTAAAATTTGATTGGTTTACTAAGGGGAAGCTTAAAATAGTGAGGAAACCAATATCCTAATGTGTTCCTGAAGAGAAGAGAATTCAGACCAAGAACTTATGATTGGACCATTGCTCAATAACTTTAGATTTATTCATTTAAACTGATAATTGCTGTCTATTTGTATAAATATCACACTAAAACTAGAAAGGCCCTTACAGATCTTTTGGATCAATACTTTATTTTCTCAACATATACAGTGATATTCTTTTACAGAGAACATTTCTCCAAGGATCATTTCCTGAGTGTGGTGCAGTGGGAGGTGTCAGATAGATCTGTTGTCCACTTCTGGAACTACAGCTTATTTTCCATGTGATCATGCGCATGTTTCCAGACCTGCGCCCCACTCAAAAAAGATGTTAATGCTATCTATAAGATTTTTGGGAAGATTAGACAGTTTAACGGAGGTAAACCTGAAGTGCTCCGTAACCGAAGGCCTTTCTCTCCCCCTTCTCCCCCTTCCTTACCAACAACATGGCAGGATTCTCAGTTCTCTTTGACAAAAGGCCATGTTCTGTGACTTTACTTGACCACATTAAGCAGGTAGATCAGGTAGTAGTTACATTACAAAATGATAATTTGATCTATATAAAAAGATTCATCGGGCTTCCCTGGTGGCGCGGTGGTTGAGAGTCCGCCTGCCGATGCAGGGGACGCGGGTTCGTGCCCTGGTCTGGGAAGATCCCACATGCCGCGGAGCGGCTGGGCCCGTGAGCCATGGCCGCTGAGCCTGCGTGTCCGGAGCCTGTGCTCCGCAACGGAAGAGGCCACAACAGTGAGAGGCCCGCGTACCGAAAAAAAAAAAAAAAAATTATACTGATTGGTTTTTTAATAGAAACCACCTTGAATTTTTGGTATAAACCCCACTTGGTCATAATGTGTTATCCTTTTTATATACTGGACTTGATTAGCTAAAATTTAAATATTTTTGTATCTGTGTTCCTGAGGGATACCGGTAGGTAAATTTCTTTTCTTATAATGTCTGGTTTTGGTATCAGGGTAAAGCTGGCCTTAAAGTATGAGTTGGCGGTTTTTCCACCTCTTCCTTTTTCTGAGAGAGTTTGTTTGAAATTGGTTTATTTTTTCCCTGAGTACTTGAGAGGATTCACTTGTGAAACCTTTTGGATTTGGAGTGTTTGGGGAGTTTTTTTTTGTTTGTTTTTTTTGGGGTTCCTTTGGTGGAAAGATTTTAAATTACAAATTGAATTTCATTGATTGACAGAGGACTATTCAGATTAATTACTCTGTTTCTTCTTGAGAAATAGCTTTGGTATGTTGTGACTTTCATAGAACTTGTCCATTTCATTAAGCCCTCTTTTGCCTTTTAATAGCTCTAAAGTTTGTAGTGATAACCCCTCCATCATTTCTGATTTTGGTAATTTGTATTTTCTCTCTCCCTTTCTTGGTCAGTAATACTAGAGGTTTAATCATTTTTAATGATCTTTCCAAAGAACCAGCTTTTGGCTACATAGAAATTTCTTTTTTTTTTTTTCTGTTCTGTTTTATTGATTTTTGCTCTTAACCTTATTATGTTCTTCCTTCTACTTCTTTTGGGTTAATATGTGTTTATTTTCCTAGAGTCTTAAGACAAGCTGAAAGCAGGAGTTGGCAAACTATAGTCTGGGGGCCAAATTCAGTCTGCTCCTTATTTTTGTATGGCCCATGAACTAAGAATGTTACTTTCGTTTTTTTTAATGGTTAAAGAAGTCAAAAGAGGAATAGTGTTCTGTGACGTGAAAATAAATGAAATTCAGATATCAGTGTCTGTAAACACATTTTTATCGGAACACAACCACACTCGTTTGTTTACATATTGTTTATGGCTCCTTTTGTGCAGAGCTCAGTAGTTGGAGTAGAGACTTTGTGATGTTCTCATTGCTTTGGGCTGCTGCCTGGTGTGCGCTGTAAGCACAGTGTTTCACGTGCCCTGCATGTTACTGGTTCTGTGACATTTTACTTCATTTATTGTCAGCGGATTCCCATCATGTCAAAACAAGAAAAGATGAGAAAAATGGACTTGACATAGTTATACTTTTAAAGCACAGTGGAGTGTAGAATATCGAACTAAATGACAAAGCATTTTGATTATTATGCAGTGACACCATAGCTGTGCTAAAGACATAGAATTTACGCTGACATTACCAGAGTAGTCACTCGTCATGGTATTCCCAATTCATAGGAACGCAGTGGTTAGAAAACTTAAAAAGGAATATCTTTTTAAGCAGAATTTCTTCACAAAATTAAAAAACGAAAATCAGGCTGCACCCAGAGTAAGTTTCTGAGTGTCTCATTTGTTGGCCAAACAAGGAAGTCATTTACCAATGGTAATTTAAGTAAATCTTGTTTGATTGTAGCAGCCAAAGAAATGTGTCTGGAGAAAATAAACTTGCTTATGACTCTTAGCCTTCTGGTGAGAACAGTCGCTATTGAGGACATCAATAATCAATTAAATAAAACAAGGCAAATGATTTTGATTGGTTTTCCTTGGCTCTTGATGAATTGACAGATGTTACCAAAACAGCTTAAGTGTTTATTTGAGAAGTCAATGCTGAGTTTGAAGTTACTGAAAAATTACATTTACTGAATAGTATTTGTGGAATAGCTACAGACAGGAATACTTATAAAAAGTTGAGAAAACACGAATTCTGTACAACCTGAAGTGGAATCTGTTAAGATGTGTTGAAACTCGGGGTGGCAAAAAATATGTGTAGAACAGGAAAAGGCTTAGGTGAACAAATTTACAAAGCTGTGAAAATGTAGCATGGTTAAAGTTGTTGGCTCTTCACTGTTTTTTAAAAATTTATTTATTTTTTATTTTATTTATTTTTGGCTGTGTTGGGTCTTCGTTGCTGCACACGGGCTTTCTCTAGTTGCTGTGAGCAGGGGCTCCTCTTCGTTGTGGCGCATGGGCTTCTCATTGCGGTGGCTTCTTTTGTTGCGGAGCACGGGCTGTAGGTGCATAGGCTTCAGTAGTTGCAGCACGCTGGCTCAGTAGTTGTGGCTCGTGGGGTCTAGAGCACAGGCTGAGTAGTTGTGGTGCACAGGCTTAGTTGCTCTGTGCCATGTGGGATCTTCCCGGACCAGGGCTCGAACCCATGTCTCCTGCATTGGCAGGCAGATTCTTAACCACTGTGCCACCACGGAAGCCCTTCACTGTTTTTTTTTTATCAGCAGGTGTTTTGCAGAGAATATTTGAATCTATCATGTAGTAAGGAAGCATTAGTGTCTTAAGACTCGAGTGTTGCTCTTGAGGACTTAGCCATTGTCAGTTCCATGAATCTTTGTCAGAAATAGACTTGCCCCTGCCACACAGCAGTTTGGTGGCTTGTAGTGGTAAAGTTCTATTGTAATCGTTTGAGCGAAGGGCTGATTTGAAATTTTTCTGAATGAGAGGAACTACTCTCACCCACTATTACTGAACACTGAATGGCTTTGGAAATCAGTTTGGCTGCAGACTTAATAATGTTTCTTTATGAATCAACTGAAAATTACAGGACCAAACAGTGCTTATATGCAAAACTAAAAGTTATTTCAATGCCAACAAATGTTTGAATCACAAGTAATACCAAGCTATTTTATATAGCTTTCCTTGCTGTCAAAGCTTAAAGCAAAGAAGTGAGATCTCCATTCCCACCCAGATTTTCAGTATATTTTTTTGAGCTCAAACTACTTTGATGCAAGTGCAAAGGAAATTTCCATATTATGAAATCCATTTAACTGTGTCATTGAGATACTTCCACTTACCCTTCAATTGGAAGTGATTAACATGCAATGTAATGACATGCTAAAAGACGTTATCAAGAGAAGAATAAAATCTTTAAATGCTTTCCAAACAGAGAATATGCTGGATGAAATCATATGCTTGTGATTTGATATCATTATGTGACAGTACCTATCTGGGTAAAAAGACACTTTTAAACATGAAATGCATAAGTATTATTAAAGAACAGCATTAACATACGAACATTTGCAAGTGATTTTGATGATAGGGAACAGTAACTTTGAATCTGAACTACATGAAATATCCCCCCACAAAAGAGTTCCATTCTTATTAGTAGACCTGTTTTGCAAAAAGTTGTACTCAACTATTACTACTGTAATATTTTGAATTTTGTTGATAAAAATTGTGGACATTTTTGTCTCATTATGTAAGTACTTACATAATATCCTCAATTTTGCCCATTGCCCCTCAAAGCTAAAAATATGTACTCTCTGGCCCTTTACAGAAAAAGTTTGCTGACCCCTGCTTTCCATCGAGGTGTTTTCAGTCTGCATATTTGTGTACCTGTACATATTAGCAGAATTAATGCTTTTGTCTCACAGTGACTAATTTGAAGAATTGTTCTAATTTGAAGAGGAGGCTTTCCGTGGTTGTCCTATTTTCTGTGGGTAGATCTACTGAATGTTGACATTTCTTACTGTGTAACAGTAGTGTACTATTTGCTGCAGTGTGATTCTCAAGTAACATAGATGCTGCCTTCAAGGAGCCTATGCCTGGAGAAGGGGCAAATAATATGCCAAAACACATAAAGGAAACAATTTTATTCTCAGAAATGTACTGGAGTCAGCTGAAATGACTAGAACTAGAGACAGTTAATTTTGAGGAAGAGGTTTTGAGCCCCTTAAGAATAGATAAGAAGTAGAGAGGAAGGGCCAAGCTACCCACATCAAAATTTAATTCCCTCAGGAAGGCATGGAGAAATATTTTGATTTTTCTCTACCAAGTGTATTCATTGGTTTACTGTTCCAGGAAATAAGAGTAGGTCAATTTGGACTCTTTCCCAAGATGTCATTCTCCTGTATCTTTGGACTTCCTACTCTTTGTAGTTTTCGGTGGAAAGCAGCTTTGCTTAGAAGCCTTGGATGATCTTGGGAGACTTTAGAGAAGCCTGGAAGAAAAGCCAGGATTACTGGGCTGGAGGGCTTTGGTGGAAACCAGAGGTTCAAATGATATTTTTTCCTAGCATCTTATTAATTAGATTATTAATTAAGATTAATGATAGTTATTTGCACAGACAAAAAGTTACAAATGACAAGGTCATAGAAGATTACAACATGAGGAGCAAAAAGAGCTCAGTTAGTTTAATTCACAGGTTTTTGCTTAGATTTAAATTGTATGGAACAATTAAATGTATACAAACGATGCATGGGCAACTATAGGCTGTTCTTTTAAAATGTGTTCCTTAAGTCAAAAAGTTCCTTAACTTTTTGTTCTTGGGGCCAAATAGTTTTAGTGAGAAATAGTTTCTGCAGTTTTAATTGTTGATGTCATTGGAAAATGTGAGATATTCATATATTTATTTTTACATTGTCAAGAATAGGTGGACTAAAATAAAGCAAGTTCATCTTCACTATTATTGCAGCGTGTAGTAATTATAAATGAGCAAGGAGAACTAGTGTCTAATTTATGTACCTGTAACATAAATCGATAGTTCAGAGCTGTGTAATTTGTCTCCTTATTATCTCTTTGTGTGTTCTTTTGTGATCTCCTTTGTATTTCCAAAATTGGGAATTTTGTTCAGTATTATAAGATGCATTCAGATAACCTCAAAGAGTGAGAGAACCATTTTGACTTTCAAAGTAGTTTTAAGCAGATCTTTTAAATCATAATAAGAAATGCTTTAAAGTCAGTACTGAAAACTTAATAAAAAGTCATATTTTATGTTTAGGTCTCTGAAAGATGAATTTGGCTGAGATTTGTGACAATGCAAAGAAAGGAAGAGAATATGCACTTCTTGGAAATTATGACTCATCAATGGTATATTACCAGGGGGTGATACAGCAGATTCAGAGACATTGCCAGTCAGTCAGAGACCCAGCTGTCAAAGGCAAATGGCAGCAGGTAAGGTCACGTTCAAGTTTTCAGTGAATGAGGGCAGCGGTCTGTTATACTTGAAAGATAAGAGTTAGAAAATTAGTTTGAGATTTTTGTGAATAGCTCTTATTTGTCTGAATACTGAAATATATTTAAAATGTACTCTGAATAGTTTTCTGTCTTTCCCAGTTAATATTTTATATACTTTTGATAATATATTTTATGAGACATATTTTGAAGATATTTAATTCAAATTGAATCTACTTTTAATTCTTTTCCCTGATCAGTTGACTAATTGTGTGTGATTACAAATTTTTGAAATAAGGTATTTCTACTTGCCCTTTCCCCTTTCATTTTACATGTAATTTCGACTCATTTCATAAAACTTTTCCTTTAAGAAGATTTCCTCCTCTTTTGAAAGACTGCTTATAAATACAAAGGAGTCAGTAATCTAATAAAAAACACTAATATATTTGCTGTGTCTCTTGACTATACAACTTGGTTATATAATATTACAGTTAATAAAAACTTGAATTAGAATTTCCCCACTTACTCTTAAAACTTAAAATCCTTTTAAAATTAAAAGTACAAAGTCAGGCATTTCTTTGAAGTTTCATTTATGTGCTAATGCCTTTCAAGTGTTTCTTTTAAGTTTTCCACTGGTCAGAAATTGATGGTTTACTAAGTTTTCAGGGTAAATTTGGCTTATTTTCCAACTTAAGTGTTAACCAAATTATGTTGAGTGAAAACAATGCACTCGCTTTAGCTCAAGTTGAAATTTTTAGTTGTGTTCTAGCCTACATCCTAGCCCCAGGCAAGAGTTGTTTATTAATCTAGCATGGAAATATTTTTGACCTGTTCTTAATTGTGTTAAATAGTGACCATTTCTGTTCTGGTACTTCTACTATGTTTCTTTCTGTTAGGTTCTGAAATTTCATTTCTCTAAGTGTAGCCTATAATTGCATATATTAGTTGAATTTAGATTTTTCTTTGGTTCTGTGACTCCCTTATATGTTCCTTTCTATATATTATTTGAGATAAAGTTAAGGGAAAGTTTCTTACGCTCTGCTTTATAGGAAAGTGTGCTTTCTGGTTAAGAAAATTAAAATTGTTAAAATTAATTTATAAATGTAATTTTCAATCTATTACCTGCTTGTCTTTGAAAATTAGTTTGGGCTCAAAGTTTGAAAACATGAGAATTTCCACATAGTTGGTGCTCAGTGAAGGTTTTTAAATATGGGAAAAATCTTGCCTTTGAGCTCAAAATAAACTTTAGCCAGGACTTGAAAGATTTTAAACAAGGCGAAAAGAATTCAGACCTTGGTGAGGCAGAATTTAAATTGGAAATGGGTAGTTCTTAGTATCAATATTGCACAACTTCAGGCTTTCAGATGCTCACGACAGGCATTTCGTATTTTGTGATATTGGGGATAGGAAATGCTGATTTCCTATCAGCATTTTGGCTGACAATTTTTGAGGAAGCTATTTACAAATATATTAAAAGTATTTAGCATAACATTATAGATTTCTGGGAATGGTTAACTTCTTACTAACTTAGTTGCTTGTTTTAAATAGTCTTAATGGTCATCACATTCTTTGGTAGAAAGAATTTCTTCATGAAAGATATATAACAACTTGCACTAAGAAAAGATATATATTACATGTATGTCTTCAAGCCAATTCCTGGCCTCCTATGTAACTTTAAATAGTTGTTTTTTTAAACTATGTTTTAATTACCCATTTTGCATACTTTGAACAACATTAAGAAAACTAGAATTCTATAGCAATTCGTTATTTGCAATTTATATAAATATTTTGTAGCATAAAGGCTATTTTTTTAAGGTTCGGCAGGAATTATTGGAAGAATATGAACAAGTTAAAAGTATTGTCAGCACTTTGGAAAGTTTTAAAATCGACAAGCCCCCAGATTTCCCTGTGTCCTGTCAAGATGAACCATTTAGAGACCCTGCTGTTTGGCCGCCCCCTGTGCCTGCAGAACACAGGTAACTGGGACTTTACATTCTCTTTAGGTACTTCTGTAGTTAATTGGTATTCAGAGTGAAGAGAGTAAAGCTTTATTTGAACAAAGTATGAAAAACTGTTTTGGGGGGCATGTAAATTTAATACCTATTTATAATTTTCACACGTATGTTTACAGGGTTTGTATTTGATAAAGAACAGAAGTATATCATTTGTCATCTGTCTTGCTTTTGGAATGTTTTACTACTGTAATCAAAACAATAGCAATCTACTGCTAGTCCTAAATTTTAGTTTAACTGATAAATTTATCAGTTAAGCAGGTTCTTTTAGATTTCATAATGTCAGCATCAGAGCTTTTTTGCTTTAAAAGACTAACAACTTTAGATGAAATGGTGGACAAATTGGGTTCATCCGGTTGGGCATACAGCCAGTTTCCTGAATCTTAGTGTTGAAGGAACCTAACCTTTCCCTAAACGTTCCCTAACCTTTCCCTAAATTTGCCCTAAAGGGCAAATTCCCTAGTGTGTCAATAAGGCTTGAAGTTTATCTCCTTGATGCTCTGTCTGTGCATTATCTGCGTTAAACCTCTCTCTTCTTCTTCTTTGCTGTCTTCCTGTCTTTGCATGGTCTGTTCTTCCTCAAGGAATAACCACAGTCCCCATCTAAGCAACTCATATTCATTCTTCGAGTCTCAGCTAAACTGCTTGTCTTCTCTGCAGCCTTTTCTGGTTTCCCTCGCATAACAGTGTTCATCCTAGTTATGTTGTGTTTCTTTGTCTCTTGACAAGATTAGGAGTTTTGCAAGGGCAAGGACCATGGTTTTATTTACTCAAAACAAATAACAAATAGCAAACTTCCACTGCTCACACAGTGTTTGGCACATAGTAGGCATTCAGCCAACATTGAATGAGTAACTTCATTAATTCCACAAGTAAAGAAACTGAGGTTTGGGAGACCTTGACCTGTAAGTTAGGCTAGACCAGGAGCTGAGCTTAGGTCTTTCTGGCTTTCAGTCCCCTTTTTTGTGAAGTTGTATATTGTGGCCAGAGTGTTGCATCATAGAAAATAAATATCCCTTTGGTTAGTAGCTGTGATCGTGTATTTAGCTTGTTGATCTCTTAAAATTTCCTAAAAGCATTTAAAGAACTGTGAAATGTAGTTAATTTATTCCTTCAGGATTTTTTTCCACTGAGTTAGAGATAATTTTATGATTCCCATTATAAAAACACTAGATGATGATTCTTTTCTAAGGTCTACAGTAATATAGTGCTTTCCTCAGATGTAGCCACCCTCAGGTGTTTTGGATTAAGGTGACTGTTACCCCTCAAAAAGCACTGTTTCAAGAGTCTTAGGAAGTTCCAAAGTAAATATAATGGCATTTTGATGGATCAGACTTGAAAATTTTATGTATGTATAATAAATACCTTGTTTTTTCCTGAAAGTCATTAATTTAGAAATACATTTCTTGTTTAAAGCTAAAAGCTGACACTGTTTTTATTTAGATATAATTGACATAGCATTGTGTAAGTTTAAGGTGTACAGTCTGTTGATTTGATATATTTATATATTGTGATAGGATTATCACAGTAGCCTTAGCTAACACCTCTATCACGTTACATAGTTATCATTTCTTTTTCTGGTGGGAATTAAGATATAGTGTCTTAGCAACTCTGAAGTATGTGATGCAGTATTGTAGTGTTTAATCGCTGTGCTGTGCATTAGATTTCTGGGACTTATTTAACTACTGGTTGCAAGTTTGTACCGTTAAACACCATCTTCCCAACTCCCTGCCCCCACCCCCATCTCCCAGCCCCTGGTAACTACCCTTCAACTCCTGTTTTTACAAGTTTGGCTTTTTCAGATTCCACATATAAGTAACATGCATTAGTCCTTCTTTGTATGACTTAACTCACTTAGCATAATGCCTTCAGGGTTTATCCATGTTGTTGCAAATGGCAGGGTTTCCTTCTTTGTCATGGCTGAATAATATTCCACTGTAGTATATGTGTACCACATCATCTTTATCCTTTCACCTGTTAGTGGTCACTTACATTGTTTTCATATCTTGGTTATTGTAAATAAAGCTGCAGTCAATGTGGGAATGCATATATCTCTTCAGTATCCTGTTTTTATTTCTTTCGGTTATATACCCGGGAGTGGAATTGTTGGATCGTCTGGTAGTTCTATTTTTAATTTTCTGAGGAACTTAATACTCTTTTCCATAGTGGCTGAACCAGTTTTCATTCCCACCAACAGTGCACAAGGATTCCCTTCTTTCCACATCCTTGCCAACCCTTATCCCTTGTCTTCTTGATAATAGTCATTCCAACAGATGCGAGGTAACGTCTCATTGTTGTTTTGATTTGCGTTTCCCTGATGATTAGTAATGTTTAGCATAGTTTCATGTACATGTTGGTCATTTGGATGTCTTCTCTGGAAGACTGTCTGTTTAGTTCCTCTCCCCATTTTCTAATTGGGTTGTTGTTGTTGTTATTGACTTGTATGAGCTCTTTATATATATTTACTTAACATTTTGGATATTAACCCCCTATCTGATTTATGGTTTGCAAATATTTTCTCCCATTTGGTAGGTTGCCTTTTTATTTATTTATTTTTATTGCTTCTTTTGCCATACAGGAGCTTTTTAGTTTGATGTAGTCCCATTTGTTGATTTTTGCTTTTGTTGCTTGTGCTTTTGGTGTCATCTAAAAAGATCATTACCAAGACCAATATCAAGGAGCTTCCTTCCTGTGTTTTCTTCTAGGGTTTTGCAGTATCGGGCCTTATGTTTTAAGTCTTTTAAATCCATTTCGAGTTCATTTTTGTGAGTGGTGTAAGACAAGGGTTCAAGTTCATTTTTTCCGCTGTGGTTATCCAGTTCTCTCAACAGGATTTGTTGAAGAGATTATCCTCTCCCCCATTGAGTGTTCTTGGCTCCCTTGTCACTATTATGTGACAGGGGTTTATTTCTGAGCTCTCTGTTCTGTTCCACTGGTCTATGTGTCTGTTTTTATACTGTTTTAATTACTATAGTTTTGTATCAATAGTGTAGTTTGAAATCAGGAAGTGTGATGCCTCTGGCTTTGTTCTTCTTTCTCATGATTGCTTTGGCTATTTTTGGTCTTTTGTGTTTCCATACAAATTTTAGGATTCTTCTTTCTAGTGCAGTGAAAAGCGCCGTTGGAAGTTTGACATGGATTGTGTTGAATCTGTAGATGGCTTTGTGTAGTATGGATATTTTAACAGTATTAATCTTCTGATCCATAAATGTAGGATATCTTTCCATTTGTTTGTGTTTTCTTCAGTTTCTTTCATTAAAGTCTGGTAGTTTTCACTGTACAGATCTTTCACTTGGTTAAATTTATTCCTAAGTACTTTATTGTTTTTGATGCCAATGTGAATGGGATAATTTTGTTTCTTTTTCAGATGTTTTGTTGTTAATGTATAGAGGCACAACTGATTTTTGTATGTTGATCTTACATCCTGCAACTTTAGTGAATTCATTGATTAGTTTCAAATGGTTTTTTGGTTGAGTCTTTAGGGTTTTCTATATTTAAGATCATACCATTTGCAAATAAAGACAATTTTGCTTATTCCTTTCCAATTTGGATGCCTTTAATTTCCTTGTTTTGCCTAATTACTCTAGCTAGGACTTCCAGTATTATGCTGAATAAGAGTGATGAGAGTGTGGGCATTCTTATCTTGTTGCTGTTCAAGAAGAGAAACGTTCAATTTTTCATTGTTGAGTATAATGTTAGCTGTTGTCGTATGTGGCCTTTATCATGCTGAGGTATGTTCCTTCAATTTGTTGAGGGTTTTTATCATGAAAGGGTGTCGTATTTTGTCAAATGCTTTTCTTCATCTATCGAGATGATAGTATGATTTTTATCTTTTATTCTGTTGATGTGGTGTATCATATTTATTGATTTGTATATGTTGAACCACCCTGGCATCCCAAGGATAAATCCCACTTGGTCATGTTGTATTTGAATTTGGTTTGCTAATATTGAATTTGGTTTGCTAATACTCTGTTGAGAATTTTTGCCTCCATATTCATTGAGGATATTGGTCTATAGTTTTCTTTTCTCATCGTGTCCTTATTTGGCTTTGGTATCAGAGAAATGCTGGCTTCATAAAATGAGTTTGGAAGTGTTCCCTCTTCCTCAGTTTTTTGGAAGAGTTTAAGAAGGATTGGCATTAATTCTTTTTTAAATGTTTGGTAGAATTCGCCAGTGAAGCCATCTGGTCCTGGGAATAATTTTCAGTATAGGAAGTACCTGTTCGTAATTGCTAGAGCACCATGATGTATTTCAGAAGGCAGTGGCCACAGATAATAACTCTAATATCTAATATCTGTGGCTCAGACTGAATGGAAAGTGTGGCTGGCATTTTCCCATTGATGAACACTTGCCTGAAAACTTCTTCTCATTAGAGAAACACCAGCGCAATTATTTCTTTTTCTTTGGCCTCCTGTAACTGCCCATAGCACAGATCTGACTTATTTTTATACTTGTTTTAATCGTTATTCTCAATGAAAGTGGAAGATGAATGGACCAGAATATGTTTCTCCAAACCTCCTTCCTCCATACTAAATTTTAAAAAAGTTTCCCTTGTGTGTAACCATTGTGTGTATTTTTTTTTTTTCTCTGTGGATCAGAAATCCTTAATAAAAGCAAATCTAAGACTGTATATTGCTTGGGGAAAAAAGATTCCCATTTCCACATATATCATCAACAACAATGGAAAAACACCCAGCAACTCCACAGGGTTCTACTAGTGAAGGAATTCTGTTTAATACCTTGAGTAGTATCATGGGATTAGCAGTTCTAAACTTTAAGAATAAAATCTTTACATAAGCAAATCCACAGATCCTTCACCAAGTAATAACATCATAGTGATACCTACGTAAGGCAGATGTTAATGAAGTCAACTTTACGCACGTTTGTAGCACAGAATGTGTGCATGAGCTGATAGAATAAGCAAATATTAAGATTGTAAGTTTAGGGTTAAAAGTTATGGGAGG